TCCCTTCTTGATCCAAAGTGTTGCTGACTGCTGCCTCTGGAAAAGCCTTCCAGAGGAGCTCATAGCACCTAATTCTGTAGATACCTTCAAACCTTTTATGCTTGCATTTATGTCATTTTTATGAAGATATGCCCAGATACTACTTTTATTGTTGGCGATTATATTATGTCTTTTTGTCTTGTGTTTCATTTCTATTATTTCTTTTTGTGGTGGTGGTGAAATAATAGTACCTGATAGTAATAGTACCTAAAAACAGTTCTGCCTGTCTGTTCAGAGCATGTGGCTACAGAAAGATTAAGTGACTACTGGACTGTGTTTTGCAGTTACGAGAAAAAAAGATCAGGCAGGAAGTATGATGAATAGAAAAGTCAGACTAACACCTCAGCAAGGTCTTGGAGAGAGAGCTTCTATTTATATATCATTCATTCAGAGAGGTCATCCGGGACAGGATGAATGCTGACAGCAGTCTGGTAAGTGATGGTTGATGTGATATGGTTGATAGTCTCTGGCTTTATTTTAACCGTACTGACTTGTGAAATCACTGACAACCCAGACAAACTCCTTGTCCTGGATGGATATCTGTTTAAAGTGCTCTTGGCTGCTAGTATGAACATCCTCACGTAGAAACAGCTGCAGGAAGAGTCCATTTCTAAAAGGACATCTGGACTGGGACTATAGAGAAACTGACCTTCATCTTAACACAGGGATATGATCAATATGTAAACTACTGGACTACTTATGTCACTGACATTTGTAAAGTTCATGACAACCCCTTCTTTCTGCCTGAAAATAACAATCAAACAAGCATTGGCTAGATCCAGGAGGCAATTAGCCTAACTTAACATAAACAGTGGAAGCAGGGTGAATCAGCTGACCTGGCTCTGTCCAAAGCTCGAAAACGCGTAAAAACTATGAGCTAGGGTTGCAGAGTATACTGATACTGGAGAAGCATGGTGATGAAATGAACCTTTCTTACTGTAGGAGTTTGACATAGAAACTAATGACAATGACAACTGTTTAAATAGCCTTTGTGTTTTGAGCTAACTGACCAACATCTCTGCATGAAAACACAGTGTTCCCTCTGGTAGCGTTAACTCACATTACTGCATGTGTTCACCAGTTTGTAGATCAACAACACCCGTTATGAACGATCAATAGAATTCCTGCAAAAAAGAATGAAAGTAAGTGAATAAAATTTGCACAGAAGTGCTGCTGCACTTATCTCTGCAAGGATTTATGTGGTGTCACATTTTCTCGATGTACAACAGCAGGGAGCAGCTACTTCCTTATAGGTTATATATTTT